GGTCGGGTTGCCCACAAAGGGAAGCCTATCAGACTCACAGCAGATCTCTCAGCAGAAACTCTACAAGAGAGTGGGGGCCAATATTCAACATCCTTAAAGAAAAAAAATTTCAATCTAGAATTTCATAGCCAGCCAAACTAAGCTTCGTAAGTGAAGGAGAAATAAAATCCTTTATGAATAAGCAATGCTCAGAGATTTCATCACCATCAGGCCTGCTTTACAAGAGCTCCTGAAAGAAGCACTAAACATAGAAAAGAAAAACCAGTACCAGCCACTCCAAAAATGTACAAAATCATAAAGAGCATCGACACAATGAAGAAACTGCATCAACTAATGGGCAAAACAACCAGCTAGCATCAAAATGGCAGAATCAAATTCACATGTAACAATATTTACCTTAAATGTAAATGGGCTAAATGCCCCAATCAAAAGACAGACTGGCAAATTGGATAAAAAGTCAAAACACATTGGTGTGCTGTATCCAGAAAACCCATCTCACATGCAAGGCTACACACAGGCTCAAAATAAAGGGATGGAGGAAGATCTACCAAGCAAATGGAGAGAGAGAGAAAAAAAAGCAGGCTTTGCAATGCTAGTCTCTGATAAAATAGACTTTAAACCAACAAAGATCAAGAGAGATGAAGAAGGGCATTACATAATGGTAAAAGGATCAATGCAACAAGAAAAGCTAACAATCCTAAATATATATGCACCCAATACAGGTACGCCCAGGTACATAAAGCAAGTTCTTAATGACCTACAAAGAGACTTAGACTCCCACACAATAATAGTGGAAGACTTTAACACTCCACGGTCAATATTAGACAGATCAACGAGACAGAAAATTAACAAGGATATCCAGGACTTGAACTCAGACCGGGACCAAGCAAACCTAATAGACATTTGCAGAAATCTCTACCCAAAATCCACAGAACATACATTATTATCAGCACCACATCACACCTACTCTAAAATTGACCACATAATTGGAAGTAAATCACTCCTCAGCAAATGCAAAAGAAGGGAAATGATAACAAACAGTCTCTCAGACCACAGTAGAATAAAATTAGAACTCAGAATTCAGAAACTAACTCAGAACTGCACAACTTCATGGAAACTGAACAAATGGCTCTTGACTGTTGACTGGATAAACAATTAAATGAAGACAGAAATAAAGATGTTCTTCGAAACCAACGAGAACAAAGACTTAACGTACCAGAATCTCTGGGACACATTTAAAGCACTGTTTGGAGGGAAAGTTATAGCAATAAAAGCCCACATGAGAAGCAAGGAAAGATCTAAAATTGACACCCTATCATCAAAATTGAAGGAGCTAGAGGTGCAAGATAAAAAAAAACTCAAAAGCTAGCAGAAGACAAGAAATAACTAAGATCAGAGCAGAACTAAAGGAGATAAAAACACAAAAAAATCCTTCAAAAAAATCGATAAATCTAGGAGCTGGTTTTTTGGAAAGATCAACAAAATAGACTACTAGCCAGATTAATAAAAAAGAAAAGAGAGAATAATCAAATAGATGCAATAAAAAACGATAAAGGGGGTATCACCACAGATTCGACAGAAATACAAACCACCATCAGTGATTACTACAAACAGCTCTATGCACATAAACCAGTAAACCTAGAAGAAATGGATAAATTCCTGGACACTTACACCCTCCTAGGCCTAAACCAGGAAGAAGTCGAAACCCTGAATAGACCAATAACAAGGGCTGAAATTGAGGCAGCAGTTAATAGCTTACCAACCAAAAAAAGCCCAGGTCCTGATGGGTTCACAGTCGAATTCTACCAGGCATACAAAGAGAAGCTGGTACCACTCCTGAAACTATTCCAAACAATCCAAAAAGAGGGAATCCTCTCCAAATCATTTTATGAGCCAACATCATCCTGATACCAAAACCGGCAGCAAATCAACAAGAAAAGAAAACTTCAGGCCGATATTCATAATGAACATAGATGCAAAAATCTTCAATAAAATGTTGGCAAACCGATTGCAACAGCACATCAAAAACCTTATCCATCACAACAAGTAGGCTTCATCCCAGGGATGCAAGGCTGGTTCAACATACACAAGTCAATAAATGTAATTCACCACATAAACAGAACCAAAAACAAAAACCACATGATTATCTCAATAGATGCAGAGAAGGCCTTCAACAAAATTCAACAGCCCTTTATGCTAAAAACTCAATAAACTAGGTATTGATGGAATGCATCTCAAAATAATAAAAGCTATTTATGACAAACCCACAGCCAATATCATACTGAATGGGCAAAAACTGGAAGCATTCCCTTCAAAATTTGGCACTAGACAAGGATGCCCTCTCTCACCACTCCTATTCAATGTAGTATTGGAAGTTCTAGCCAGAGCAATCAGGCAAGAAAGAAATAAAGGGTATTCAATTAGGAAAGAAGGAAGTCAAATTGTCTCTATTTGCAGACGATATGACTATATTTAGAAGACCTATTGTCTCAGCCCAAAATCTACTTAAGCTGATAAGCAAATTCAGCTAAGTCTCAGGATACAAAATCAATGTGCAAAAGTCACAAGCATTTCTCTACACCAATAACAGACTTAAAGAGAGCCAAATCAAGAACAAATTGCCATTCACAATTGCCACAAAGAGAATAAAATACCTAGGAATACAACGATAAAAGGATGTAAAGGACCTCTTCAAGGAGAACTGCAAACCACTGCTCAACAAAATAAGAGAAGACAGAAACAGATGGTGAAACATCCCATGTTCATGGTTAGGAAGAATCAATATTGTGGAAATGGCCATACTGCCCAAAGTAATCCATAGATTCAACACTATCCCCATCAAGCTAGCAATGACCTTCTTCATATAACTGGAAAAAAACACTTTAAACTTCATATGGAATCACAAGAGAGCCCATATAGCCAAGTCAATTCTAAGCAAAAAGAACAAAGCTGGAGGCATCATACTACCAGACTTGAAACTATAGTACAAGGCTACAGTAATCAAAACAGCATGGTACTGGTACCAAAACAGAGATATAGACCAATGGAACAGAACAGAGGCCTTGGAGGCAACACCACACATCTACAACCATCAGATCTTCGTCAAACCTAACAAAAACAAGCAGTGGGGAAAGGATTCCCTGCTTAATAAATGATGTTGGGAAAACTGGCTAGCTATGTGCAGAAAACAGAAACTGGACCCCTTCCTAACACCTTACACTAAAATTAACTCCAGCTGTATTAAAGACTTAAACATAAGACCTAACACCATAAAAACCTTAAAAGAAAACCTAGGCAAAACCATTCAGGACATAGGCCTAGGCAAGGACTTCATGACTAAAACACCAAAAGCATTGGCAACAAAAGCCAAAATAGACAAATGGGATCTAATTGAACTCCAGAGCTTCTGCACAGCAAAAGAAACAATCATTAGAGTGAACCGGCAACCAACAGAATGGGAAAACATTTTTACAATCTACCCATCTGACAAGGACTTATATCCAAAATCTACAAAGAACTAAAACAGACTTACAAGAAAAAAAAAAAAAACCCATTCAAATGTGGGTAAAAGATATGAACAGACACCTTTCAAAAGAGGACATATATGAGGCCAAAAAACATATGGAAAAATGCTCATCATCACTGATCATCAGAGAAATGCAAATCAAAACTACATTGAGATACTGTCTCACGCCAGTTAGAATGGCAATCATTAAAAAATCTGGAGACAACAGATGCTGGAGAGGATGTGGAGAAATAGGAACACTTTTACCCTGTTGGTGGGAGTGTAAATTAGCTCAATTATTGTGGCAGGCAATGTGGCGATTCCTCCAGGACCTAGAAATAGAAATTCCATTTGACCCCACAATCTCATTACTGGGTATATATCCAAAGAATTATAAATTGTTCTATTATAAGGACACATGCACACATACGTTCATCACGGCACTGTTTACAACAGCAAAGACTTGGAACCAACCCACATGCCCATCGATGACAGACTCGCCAGGGAAAATGTGGCACATATACACCATGGAATACTATGTGGCCAAAAAAAATGATTAGTTCATGTACTTCGTAGGGACATGGATGAACCTGGAAACCATCATTCTCAGCAAACTGACACAAGAACAGAAAATCAAACACCACATGTTCTCACTCAAAGGTGGGTGTTGAACAATGAGAACACGTGGACACAGGGAGGGGAGCATCACATACTGAGGTCTGTTGCGTGGGACTAAGGGAGGGACAGGGAAGGGTGGGGAGTTGGGGAGGGATAACGTGAGGAGAAATGCCAGATATAGGTGACGGGAAATGAGGCAGCAAACCACATTGCCATTATGTACCTATGCAACAATCCTGCATGTTCTTTACATGTACCCCAGAACCTAAAATGCAATTATATGTATTTGTGTATGTGTGTATGTGTGTGTGTGTATGTGTATGTGTAAACAAAACAAAACAAAAACTCCTGCAACTAACTCAGTTTCTGCCCAAATGGTCACCCAGTTTTGTACTTGAAACCCAGGGCCCTGGTGGCATGGACACCTGAGAGAATCTCCTGGTCTGTGGGTTCCAAAGACTGTGGAAAAGCATAGCATTTGGGCCGGAGTGCACCATTACTCATGGCTCAGTCCCTCACATCATCTTTCCTTGGCTAGGGGAGGGAGTTCCCTGACCTTTTGCACTTTCTGGGTGAGACAATGTCACACCCTGCTTCGGCTCACCCTCCATGGACTGTACCCACTGCCTAACCAGTCCCAGTGAGATGAGTTGGGTACTTCAGTTAAAAATGCAGAAATCATCCACATTTTGCTTTGATCTCACTGGGAGCTGCAGACCAGAGCTGTTCCTATTCGGCCATCTTGCCAGTCACCGACAAAACTCTTATGTTTAAAGACAGGGATTTATAACCCATCAGGAACATTTTCAAGTCACAGCACTCACTGTCACTTACTATACACACCATTGGTGGGAAGGGTCATTTAAAAACCACTCACCTTTTCTCTCTGAATTTCTGAAGGGAGTTCAAAGCCTTTTGCTGCAAGAAATACCCAGCTAGACCTGAATTTCATGTTCCTGATTTCTTTACTTCCAAGTGCTTCTATGGTATTCTTGGCATCATCCTTCAGTCTGCAGGACAAAGGGGAAAGCATGTGAACATCTCAGGGAGATGTTCGTGAACATTTCAGGGAGCCGTGGACGGGAGGGGAGCTCTGCTCTGGTGTGTTATGCTGTGTGTCCTTGGACAGAGGTTTCTAAACACATGTATCTCCTGCTGCAAGGCATGACACACAGTGGCAGCCAAGAGGCACAAGGCTTGTTGAAGATGTCACATTTCTAGTTAACTACAGGACATCCAGAGCCACTTCAGACCTCAATTTTGGGCACGGAATTCTACTTTTCAACTCTGGAAAGCCCTTGTGCTTTGGGTTGAATCACAGGCTCACACTCAGCCAACAAAATTTTCAGCTATTGCTCTGCCCCTTGTTTACTGACCACAGAATTAGGTGGAGAGAAGTTGCTGAAAGACAAAAGCAAATGTCAAAACCGCCTCCTTTTCATAACCAGAAAAGTCAGCATCCTAAAGGAGAAAGAAATGTCAAACGGCACTGCCACTGCAAACAGTAAGATTTAGAGGAAGTGACAGGCGGGCAGAGAGGAAAGAAAACAAGTAAGTTTGGATTGTTCTGAGTGAGTTACTTCAGAGTTTTTCAAAGTATATTCCAAGGAACCTCGGTTTGGTAAGATGCTCCATAAAGAAAGGAACCTGAGGTCAGAGAAACTGGGGAAATGTTGTGGTCAGCAGCCCTATCTGGGAAATTCACACCAACAAGCACTTTGAAGGTTCTTAGAAACTGCAGCAAAGACACAAGTTTACGGAGTAGGACACACTCTGAGAAGCACTGAGCTACACCCACCTCTAGTACAGTATTGGATGTGTATGTGTGTATTTTATTATTTTCCTCTTTCTATAGGGAAATTATTTCCATTTCCTTTCACATTGCTGTAAGTATTAATGCCACCCTGGGTTTAGGATTTCTGCCCAGAGGTTAGTTTTTCTGCCCTAATTATGGTCAGCAGTGGCTTTGTCTTGATTCCTGGAAATACTCCTTTGATTTAGATTCTAGTACTTCTGTGCTCCACTGGTTAGTGATTTTATTTTATTTTTTAAAGAAATGCAATCTATTTTGTCATGATTTTTATTCTTTTTCCTTAGAGAAGTACTTTGCTCCTGGACTTTCTAGTTGTCACCAGAGGATGTCACTGAGGGACCCTGGCGTTCCCTGCCCCAGCTGGCTTTTCTTGCCCACCGCTGTGACAATCCACACCCACTCACCTTGTGCTTCCGTCGTCATATGTCACCATGAGGAGCAGGGATTTTGGAGGAGCGCTCTGAATAAACTTTGTCATCGGTCCGGAGTTATCTGTTGGGCAATGCAAGCCAGTTTTAGGGTCTTTGCTGTTCACTGAACCTTGGGCTGGGCTTCCTCCTGCACCTGCCTTCTGTGTCCACTCTGAATCCTTGGGCTTCTAGCACCTGCTGCTCAACCCTGCAGATGGTGTGCTAGGGTTGAACACTGGATGTGTAAACATTCACAGGGGTACCACGGGGACTATCTGGGGTGAGTGGCACAGCGTAGAAGGAATAGAACTATGTGGAACACTTGCAATGGGTATTCAGGGTGGTGGTGAACGGGTGTCAAGATAAGGAGCTGTTATGACCAACAAACAAGAGAAGTGGAGCCCCTGGTGGGAAAAAAAAAACCTCCTTAGAAATTAGATCATAAAGATTCTGTTAACCAAACTCTCAACAAGCAGCAGCCTGTGCGGGACAGGTGGAGTGTTCTCTGCATTAACTTACAAAGAGCCACATCCACACCGTGACTGTTGAGCAGAGTGACCTTGCAATCACACCGATGTGTGCAGGAGAGAGACTCCCACAGAACTTAAATAAGAGAGTTGTGGACTAAGGGCAAGTCTGTGCTAAGGGACTCACCTATGTCTTATAAAACAAAGGTAAAGCTCAAACCCTGTTACTCGCCTCGGTGGCTCATTATTTACAATTCTGCTTAGGTTAGCTGCAGAGTACAACTGCGTCCTTCTCATTCAGTGGATACAGGCATTTTCTATTCCTTGTCTTCACTATCTTTAAAAAAAACTTGTTTTTGAAACTCTCAGTACAAATAAAAATAAGAGAGGATAGTATATCCTGACCAACCACTGTAGTCAAGATTCAGTGCCCAGAAAGGAGAGACCACTGAGAAAGACTGGGGACCCGTGGGTTCCAGAAATGCTTGCCCTGGGCCCAGCAGAGCACCCTGAGTCACCAGAAGTAATTGTGACAGCTTTTAAAGGATGATGATATTTAGGGCGGGATGCTGGTTGCCTTATTTTACATATAATGTATGTGGCATTTTTAAAAAAAGGCCTTTTCTTTTTCTTATTATATCATGAAGGCTAAAAAGAGAAAAACTGAGGAAAACTAATAGAAGAAAAGACATTTCTGGATGATGCCTTCAAATGGTCTATGAATTCAATTAGAGCTTAGGAGGATCTACGTAAGACCGCTCTGGATTACTCAGGGGAGCTGCTGGCAATTTTCTAGTAGACAAAATAAAAAACGGTTGGCATTTTTTCGTTGTGCTTTTTAATCTTAATTTTATGTTTCAAATTCATTTGAATTTTAACAGAAAAACTTTTCTTACCGCCTTCATACATATCAAAACATCTTGTTGCTGTCACATTCCCAGTTACATCTGAAAATAAAATAAGTAGACTTCTAAAAGAAAATTCACAGAACCGGGCCCACTTGCCTGCCTGGGGAAGGACATACTTCTTCCCTGTCTGTCTCCAGGAAGCACCACTCATGTGATGACCCAGCCTGCAGAGACAGGGCTCGCCCCTTGAGGACAGTCCCCAAAACCAGGTCAGAGGAAAGTGCTGGAAGCTGTGCTAGAACTTTCTTCCACTTTGCTTTGGGTTACACCTGATGGAATACTAACACCTCCCCCACCCACCTGGTCCCACAGAAATACCAGACTCTTTCACCCAGGCCTTCTTCCCACAGAAACACCAGAGCCCCCTGAGTCAGGCCACCTGCCACATCTCACAGAAACACCAGAGCCCCCTCAGCCAGGCCACCTGCCACATCTCACAGAAACACCAGAGCCCCCTCAGCCAGGCCACCTGCCACATCTCACAGAAACACCAGAGCCCCCTCAGCCAGGCCACCTGCCACATCTCACAGAAACACCAGAGCCCCCTCAGCCAGGCCACCTGCCACATCTCACAGAAACACCAGAGCCCCCTCAGCCAGGCCACCTGCCACATCTCACAGAAACACCAGAGCCCCCTCAGCCAGGCCACCTGCCACATCTCACAGAAACACCAGAGCCCCCTCAGCCAGGCCACCTGCCACATCTCACAGAAACACCAGAGCCCCCTCAGCCAGGCCACCTGCCACATCTCACAGAAACACCAGAGCCCCCTCAGCCAGGCCACCTGCCACATCTCACAGAAACACCAGAGCCCCCTCAGCCAGGCCCACCTGCCACATCTCACAGAAACACCAGAGCCCCCTCAGCCCATTCACTTCCTACTTTCCAGTCTCCTTCAGGGCTGTCAGACTAGGAGCATTTGATCTCCACTTCCACAGCCCTGGCGTCCTGGGGATATGCTGTCCACTCACTCCGAGGGACACTGCAGGAAACCCTTTCCTTCTCATCTGGGCCCCTCAATGGCAACTGTGACAGAGCTTTATTCAGGGCCTAAGAAAAAGGCCAAATTTTGTTCCCCATGAGGCTGCTATGGCTTTTATCACACAGATGTATGAGCTGGCCTGTGGCATCAGCCCCTGAGCAGACTCTGGGACTCGGGGCAAATGAGGCTCGGTCCAGGACCGCAGGCTGTACCCGCTTGGCAACTCTTCTTTTAACCCTGTCTGTGGCCTATCCCTCTGTATTTTAGTTTATATTTAGTTTTCAGTTGTTTATTTGTTGTTAGAACCATAAATAATCTGTGAAGTGAGACTTGTAAAAATAATTGAATATATAATCTTAAAATGCATTAAAATATAAACCTAGACTAAAGCATGTGCAAAAATCTTGAAAACCCAAGCTGTCTTTGAAAATCTGACCAGAGAGCTTTCAGAGAAGTTTACAGAAAACGTTAAGTAACTTACAGTTGACAACGGCAATGTTTATTCCTCTGGCGACGTTCCCCAGCTTTCCTCCCATGAGCCTGAAATGTAACTAAGCGTTAGTCAAGTACCAAGAAGCCTGCAGCTCTCCCTGCGCCACGAAGTCTCCACCTGGCCAAATGTCAGGCTCATCTGCTGTCCCCACCATTTCCCTGAAGTTCCGCACTGGCCTTGGTGCGGCTCCCAAGAACGCCACCCCCATGCCCACCCACGCACATCTATTCCCAGTGTCTACAGACTCAGTCCCTTGGGGGACCTGGAATCTCAGGGAACCTGGACACTGCATTCAACCTTAAAATTTAGACAGATGGCTAGGGGGAAGAGAAACCAACATTTATTCAGCTGAGGCTCTTCACTGATGTACTTTATTTTTAATTTATTATTTATGTATTCATTAAGACAGGGTGTCGCTCTGTCACCCAGGCTGGAGTGCAGTGGTGCGACTTTTGCTCACTGCAACCTCCACCTCCCAGGCTCAAGCAATCCTCCCATCGTAGCCTCCCAAGCAGCTGGAACTACAAGTGTGCGCCACAACACCTGGCTAATTTTAAAAAATTTTTGGAGAGACAGAATTTTGAACTCTTGGGCTCAAGCAGTCTGCCTGCCTCCGCCTCCCAAAGTGCTGGGATTACAGACGTGAGCCACTGCGCCCAGCTATGCCACTTAATTTTTAACCTTTAAATTAAGAACATGAAAAGTCAAATTCAGAGGCTTGTGTCCTAGAACAAGAGAGAGGAAATGACTTTCCTGGAGCTGGTAATTATGACTGAAGATGACAGAAACGGTGCGTGTGCATGTTCCCTTGGTCAACTTTTACAATCGATGACATGTTAGCTTCATGACAAGAATCTGGAAGTCTTCCTCCCTTTTCCATGCTTTGGAATAGCAAATATGGAACTTTAATATTCTGCCTTTGACAATTTTTCCTAACTCCCCCAATGAGTTTTCTAGGCTTGGTGGGTTTTGATGGTTTTAGAGAATATTCGATAAGAACTTAAAAAGAAGCAGAAAGAAATTTCTGGTCATCTGAACCTACTCCCTCATAGAGAAAAGCAGAAAACACAAGGTGAGTCTTGTAGCTGCTGTTGTTGTCAAAGATCCGCTTGTACTGAGTAGAGACAAAATAAGATAGTCAGGAATTTCCCAGGGCAAATCTAGGAGAAGACTAAATTTCAGGGTGTTAAGTCCAGCATTTAAAGCTACTTTTAACCAAGGACAATTTTCTGATTCCAGAAAAAGTGTGTAAGGAAGGGAACAGCATTTCTGACAACCATGTGAGCCATGGGAACAGGAGCTGGAAGCTAGGGTTAGGGCCATGTTGAATCTCCCACATCTTATTTGGGCTGGGGTCACAGAGGGTTGAATCCTGAAAGTGAGAGGAAACCAGAAATAAATCAGAGCTTATATAAACTTCAGCCTAGTTTTTAGTCAACTAGGTGGCCCAGAAAATCTTTAACATTTATTCAGGTCATCCAGTTCTGCTAAAGGTTCCAGGTCCCTGGGAGAAGCAAAGAAAATTCCTCAGAAGAAGATATCATCCCAGGCCTCAATTTTTTTAAAAAACAGGTACAGGATCAAATGAAACCTAACACGTGAGGGAAGCCAGTGCACACAAGAGTCAACAGAACCGGCAGAAAACATCAGGTAACAGTGACAAACTCACAGGCCCTCCACATGCTACAGGTATTCAACTCAGACTTTAACTGTAATGTATTGCAGAACATGGTTGATAAGATTAAAAATTTCACAACTGAAAAGTACCAAAGCTGACAAGCTGATTTAAAAAAGAACCAGAATAAAGTTCTAAAACTAAGATAATATAGTCACCTAAAATCACTGGTCCCTGGATGGGTTTAACAGCAGATTAGGCACAGCGGTGAGATAATTAGTGAATGGAAAACAGCTCTGTCCACGATAAAGAGCAGAGACAAACAGATGGAAAATACAAAATAGACTGTAGGCTACAGAGAATAGAGTCGTGATAAGGTCTAACGTATGTTTCATAAAGAATCTCAGAAGAAGAGGAGAAAGTGAATGGGGCAGAAGATACAAGAGCAGAGAATTCGTTATATTTCATGAGGAACTTCAACACCTACATGTTTAAGAAACTCAAAAAACTCCAAAGAAGAGAAAACAACAAAAGACACATCAGGGTACAAAGGCTGAAAAATCAAAGGAGAGGAATCGCAAAGGAGATGGGGGTGGGGGTGATAGGCAGTTACTTTCATAGCAGCAACAATCAGACTGTCAGCTGACTTCTCAAAAGAAAAAAGAATAGAACCTAGAAGACAGTGGAATAGTACCTTGAATGTGCTGAAAGAAAATAATGGCCAATACAGCCTGTAAAAGTATTTTTCAGGAATGAAGATGAAATAAAGATATTTCAGAGAAACATAAACTGGAAGAATTCACCATGAGCAGACCATGTAGCAGCGTTTGCTCTGTATCTTTTGCTGCAATAAACCTCACCTCTAATTATAACCTCTTATTGGATCTTAGGAGTTTTTCTAGAATATCACCGAATTTGAGGCTGGTTGTGAGAACCTCTCTTTTAAAAAAACACTCAGTAGAAATGTATGCACATGTGCACCAAGAGATTGAAATAGCACTGGTCCTAATAACCCCAAACTGGGAACGACCCAGATGTCATTCAACAACAGAATGGATAAACTGTAGCATATTCACGCAATGCAATGTGATACAGCAATAAACATCTAAGAACAACAGCTACATCCAACATCAAGGATAAATCTGACACATACAACGTTAAGCAAAAAAGCCAGACACAAAAGAGTATTTGGTTTATGATTCTGAGTATACAAAGTCCAAAACAGACAAAATTAAACAAGTGTTTAATTAAATAACAGTATTTTGCAATGCATGCTTGGGCAAGTAAAACTACCAAAAAAAGCAAGGAAATGATCACCATCAAAGCTAAAATGCAGGGCATTGGGCAGGAAGGAAAGAGGAAGCTGCATGAGAAGGGGCATACAGAGGGCTTATGGAGTGCTAGAGATAGTCTATTTCTTAGCCAGGATGTTGGCTACACACGTGTTCACTTTATCATAATTAATTACAAAATGATATATCCATAAGGTTGTTCACTGCAGCATTATTGGTAATACCAAAAGATACCAAACATCAGAAATGCCTGTCAGTGCAGAACCAGTTGAATAAAGTATGACACATCCATGCTATGGAATACCACATATCAATTGAGGAAATGAGGAAAAGCCTTATGTATTGATATGGAGTAATCTCTATTAACCATTAAGTGAAGAAAGCCAAGGGCAGAACTGTCTTTAGAGTTTACCACCTTTTAAGTAAGAATGCATATGTATGTATGTGTACATATGTGTGTGTATGTGCATATTTGTATGTATCCACGTACGCAAATATATTCATACACACATACACATATATTCACATGTATACATGCATATATATATATATATAAATATACTCCAAAGTATGTATGTATTAATTATAGATATAGCTTATTTTTGCCATTAAAACATACTGGAAGAATAAATAAAAAACTAATTAAAAAATCGAGATGGGAACAGGAGATGGGAGAAAAAGTGGAGAATACAGGGAAAATTCCACTGAGCCTCCTTTTTGGGACATATAATGTTCAAACATAATGTTGATTTCTGAACCACATAAATATATATTCAAAAATTAAATGAAACTCAAAGAAAAACAGACAAACCTAGAATTAAAAGCAAATGGAAATTAATCCAACTGTAACGTAACTACAGGGAAAATAATTATTTCATATGACTTTGGTCATTGCTATGAGTTAAATGTTTGTCACCTCTCAAACTCATGTGAAAATTTAATTGCTACTGCAATGGTATTAAGAGGTGGGACCTTTAGGAGGTGATCAGGCAATGAGGGTTCTCCCCTCATGAATGGATTAATGCCATTATCACAGGAGTGGGTGAGTTCCTTATAAAAGGACAACTTCAGTCCCCTTTTGCCTCTCTCTTTCGTTCTGCTGGAGCTGGGACACCCTTCTACTTCTCCTATCTTGGACAGGAGAACTCTAGGCTCTCCAGCCTCTGGACTCCACGACTGACACCAGTAGACCCCTCATCTCCTATTGATTCTCAAACTGAGAATTACACCACCCGCCTCTCTGGTTCTGAGGCTTTAATACTTGGACTGAGTCATGTTACCAGCATCCCGGGGTCTCCAGCTTGCAGATGACCTGTCATGGGACTTCCTGGCCTCCATAATTGGATGAGCCCATTTCCCTAATAAATAAATCCACTCTTTCCTTTCTTTTCCTACCTCCCACCACCATTGGCTCTGTCTCTCTGGAGAACTTTGATTAATATAGATCTCACTCTTTATATCCTTAATAAAATATTTTTAAATCTAAAAGAAATAGCAAACAACATTTTTAAACTTCACTTAGTAATTGTATTGTTAGTATTACTGGTATTGTAATTTGAAGGCAAAGGTTAACAGTACTAGGAACCAAGATTTTCAGTGTAAGAGTTAAAATGTAAAATCAAAAAACTTAAGGGGGTGAGACTCCTGCACTGTTGAATTTGAATTGTAAATAATAATGTAAATTTGTGATTCAGAAACAAAGGCATTGCTGGGTTCTGTCCACTAAAAGTGCTTAGGGGGAACACTATCTACGGGCCGTGAGTGTCTAGATCTGTTTCCAAATACCACGTCCCATTAAAGAACTGTCTCTTTAGAGAAATGGCTGATTTCTGTCGGAACAAAGAAAGGCTCTGCTGAGCTTAGCTGTGCTGTAAATCAAGGAAGCACTAAAAAACAAAATGGGGTCACTCAAGAAGAAACAGGTAAGTAGTGCTACACTTATTTGCAGTTAAAAACCTCAAACTGAACTCCTCCAGGCTAGAATGGCTTTGTTGGGAAATCACACCAAATATTTAAAGAAGAAATAACATCAATCCTATGGATTTTCCCAAAATATTGAAAAAGTATGAGGTGCGGACTGCAAAGAAGAACACCTGCTTTGATCAGGAGGGTGAGGATCATAAAACAAAACTAACAAACTATGAGCTGAGTTTTCATGTTCCCATGACTTCGAAGGGCTTTGCCACATATTCAGAGTAAAGCAGTCTAACTTTGAGCTGTTCAGAGCCCACCTGGCCCTGCACATCCCTGAGGCTCCCATGCCCTCATGTGCCCCACACCTTTCACTGCATCACTACTAATCCCTACTCAGATCACAGAGCAGTTGTCTATCATCACCCAGAGAACCCACAGGGCTGTGCTCAGTTCAGATTTAAATCCTAAGTATAACTGCAGTCAGATGAATCGTAAAACCATTCAACACAGGACACATACAGCCATTAGAGACAATCAGCTCCTTCCCTGATGAATACAGCGGAGAGCCGGCACTTACAGGCTGTCCTCAAAGCAGATTTTGGCATACTTGTCTTTGCCGCCTCCACTGAGTAACCGGTAGGCATAGGTGTCAGATGGGCAGGGAGTCCAGTGGTCACATTTTTGTCTTTTGGGGGCTGGGGCTGTAATGAGTAAGAAAGAATATAACCATTAACATCCCATAGCGATTTACGGATGCACCTGCTGCTTGGTGGAGAGCACCAGCACTTCACACCAGAAACTCCAAGCAGCGGTGGGAAAACCGATTTCCAAACTTCATTAGGAATTCCCCTAAAGACACAAAGCTAAGTTAATCTGATTCTATTTTAAAGTGACACATAAACAAAGAAGGAGAGGGATACTGAGTACGTGTAACAATTTTAAAAGGGCTGGGACACACTGCCTATGGCAGCCCATTATGACATTCCTGGTGGGCAATGTAATTTACATTACAATAAAAGAAACATTACAGGGGTCAAAGAGTGCTGGTGAGCAAAGAGAGCCCTCTGTGGAGCATCTATAAAGCTTCTGCATCTACACAGCCTTTGACACCTTAAATACACATCATACAACATGCCACATATACCATAAACACACACACCATACATATCATACACACATCGCATACTCAACACACTGACACCCACACCACACATGCAGACACATATACTACATGATGTATCTCACACACACACACACACACACCATACACAGCACACATTCACACACATCATACAACATGCTGCACACCTCACACACGTATCATGTGCTCACAACACACACACGCACACCATACCATACAGACACATACATCACACATGTACACACACATACCACACCACTCCCACACACACACTCATACACACAACATACCACACACAAACACATACTCTATATCACATACACGTGACCACCACAGTTGACCCACTCTCCTTTCACTTGAGTGTGAGAAACTGAGCTTTTAACCCAGGATGCGATGATTTCAGACCCTGTATATGTCTCTCCTAGCATCAGCATCCTTCCTTATTTCACAGGGGTCAGCAATTTGGGAAGATTGAGGCTGGAATGTGAGGAGCCACCTAGCCCTGCACACCCCTGAGGCTCCCATCTGCCCACATCCGCCTGACATCTTTCACTGCATCATTACTAATCCCTACTCAGATCCCAGAGTAGTTGTCTATCATTACCCACAGAACCCACAGGGCTGTGCTCAATTCAGATTTAAATCCTAAGTCTACAGAAAGAAATTCAGAAAGCAATCTCTCACCTTAGGTTTGAGTAGAAACTTGGCTCTCTATTTTATGAATTATAGTACTCTTAACACCTTAAGCAAAGAAGTATAGTCAGCTAAATGGTAGACTATACATAAACATCACAAGTAAAGAATCAAAGCATGCCACTATAGACAATCATAGAATCACAAACAAAAACAGCAAGACAGGAAGAAAGGAACAAAGGATCCACAAGACAACCAGAAAACAACAAAATGGAAGTAGTAAAGCCTTGTCTATCAATAATTACTGTGAATGTAAATGAAATAAACTCCCTAATCAAAAGACATGGATTAGCTAGATAGATTTAAAAACAAACACAAAAAACAAAACCCAACTGTATGTTGCCTATAGGAGACACACTTTACCTTTTAAAAAACCATACAGATTGAAAGTAAAAGGATGGAAAAAAATATTCCATGCGAAACCAAAAGAGAGCAGGGACGGCTGTATTTATATCAGTTTAAATAGACTTTGAGTCAAACTTTTACAAAGACAAAGATGATAATTACATGATAATAAAGGAATGGGTTCATCAAGAAGACATAACAATTAAAAATATATATACACCCAACATCAGAGCACCTAAATACATAAAGCAAAAATTAAGAGATCTGAAGGCAGGAATAAACTATAATACAATAATAGTAATGAATGCCAATACCCCACTTTCGATGTTGAACAGATCAGTCAGGCAGAACATTTTTTAAAAATTAAATTTTGTCTTAGTCTATTCAGGCTGTTTTAAAAAAATACCTTAGGCTGAATAATTTGTAAATCACACAAATTTAATTCTTAAACAACTTCAGCAAGTTCTTCTCCTCCTCTTCCTTCTTCTTCTTCAAAGTCTCACTCTGTCACCCAACTGGAGTGTAGTGATATGATCTCAGCTCACTGCAATGTCCAACTCCCAGGTTCAAGAGATTCTCCTGCCTCAATCTCCCAAGTAGCTGGGACTACAGGCATGCACCACCATGCCTGGCTAATTTTTGTATTTTTAGTAGAGATGGGGTTTCACCATGTTGGCCAGGCTGGTCTTGAACTCCTAACCTCAGGTGATCTACCCATCTCAGCCTCCCAAAGTGCTGTAACTACAATTGTGAGCCACCATGCCCAACCTATTTCTTAAACTCCTAGAGGCTGGGAAATCTAAGGTCAGGTGCCAGTAGATGCAGTGTCTGATAAGGGCCCATTCTCATAGATTGCACCTCGGTGCTGTATCCTGACATGGTGGAAAGGGGCAAACATTCACCCTTCAATCTCTTTTATAAGGGTGCTAATACCATTCATAGGGGATCTAATGCCATTCATAAGTCTTCGTGTCTTAATTTCCACAAAGTCCTACTTCTTAATACTATCAGATTAGTAATGAGGTTTCAACATACAAATACTGTTAGGATATCAACATTCAGCATACAAGGCATAGGAGACTTGAATTGCAGTTTACACCAAATGGGCCTAATAGACATATACAGAGCATTCCATCCAGCAGCAACAGAATATCCATTCTTCTCAAGCACACATGGAATGTCTTCCAGGACAGGCTTAGCTCTCTATTTTAGGCCACAAAACAAAACTTAATAAAGATAAGAAGACTGAAATTACATCAAGTATCTTTTCCTACTACCATGGTATGAAACTAGAAATTAATAATAGGAGTATATTAGGCCATTATTCCATTGCTATAAAGAAATACTTGAGACTGAGTAACTTATAAATAAGAGATTTAATTGGCTCATTGTTCTATAAGCTGTACAGGAAGCATGGTGCTAGAATCTGCTTGGCTTCTGGGGAGGCATCAGGAAATTTACAATCATGGTGGAAGGCAAAGGGGGTTCATGGCCAGAGCAGGAGCAAAGGAGAGTGAGGGTGGAGGAGATGTCACACATTTTTAAACAACCAAACCTCATGAGAACTCACTATCATGAGCACTGAATCAAGGGGATGGTGATAAACCATTCGTGAGAAATCCACTCCCATGATCCAATCACCTCTCACCACGCTCCACCTCCAACAACGGGGATTAAAATTTGATGTGGGATTTTTTGGGGATACAAATCCAAATCATATCATTTTGCCCCTGGTCCCCCAAATATCTTGTCCTACTCACATTGTAAAATACAATCATGCCTTCCCAATAGTCCCCCAGAGTCCAAAATCATTCCAGCATTCACTCAGAAGTCCAAAGTCCCAAGTCTCATCTGAGAAAAGGCAAATATCTTCCACCTACAAGCCTGTAAAATCACAAACAAGTTATTTACTTCCAGGATACAATGGGGATACAAGCGCTGGGTAAATATTCTCATCCCAAAAGGGAAAAAAATCAGCCAAAAGAAAGACTATAGGCCCCACACAAGTCCAAAACCCAACAAATCTTAAAGCTCCAAAATAAATTTCCTTCGACTCCATGTCTCACATTCAGGGCACAGTGGTGTGAGGGGTGGACTCTCAAGGCCTTGGGCAGCTATTTCCAGCCCAGTGGCTTTGCAAGGCTCAGTCCCTAAGGCTGCTCTCACAATCTGGCATTAAGTTTTTGCGACTTTTCCATGCAGAGGGTACAAGCTGCCAGGATCTACCACTCTGGGGTCTGGAGGATGGTGGTCCACTTCCCACAGCTCCGCTCGGCAGCACTCCAGTGGGGACTCTGCACAGGGACTCAAATCCCACATTTCCCCTTTGTACTGTCAGAGTAGAGGTTCTGCCTCTTCAGCAGGTTCTGCTTGAGCACTCAGGATTTCCCATATATATTTTCTGAAATATAGGTGGAGGCTCCCAATCATTAACTCTTGCATTCTGTGCATCTGCAGGCTTAATATCAAGTGGAAGCCCCCAAGGCTTATGGCTTGCACCCTCTGAAGCAGCGGCTTGAGCTATACCTGGGCCCCTTTGAGCCATGGCTGAAACTAGAGCTGCTGGGATGCAGAGAACAGTGTCTAGAAGCTGAACAGGTTAGTGGGGCCCTGGGGATGGCCCATGAAACCATTCTATATTCTTAGGCCTCTGGGACTGTGATGAAAGGGGCTGCTGCAAAGCTCTTTGAAATGCCTTTGGGGCCTTTCCCCCATTCTCTCAGCTAATAGCACTTGGTTTCTTTTTACTTTTGCAAATTTCTGCAGCCTGCTTGAATTCCTCCAGGGAAAATAGGCTTTACTTTTCTACCACATGTCCAGGCTGCAAATTTTCCAAATTTTTATTCTCTGCTTCCCCTTTAAATATAAGTTCCAACTTTAAGTCATTTCTTTGCCCACAATTACGAGTTATTAGAAGCAGCCAGTCCATATCTTCTCTTAGATACCCTGAAGCATCACTCTCAAGTTCAGAGTTCCACAGATCCCTAGGTCAAGGGCTCAATGCAGCCAAGTTCTTTTCTAAGGCATAATAAAAGTGACTTTTGCTCCAATTCCCAATAAGTTCCTCATTTCCATCTGAGACCTTGTCAACCTGGCCTTCACCATCCATCTATGGATGGTGACAACCATTCAACTAGTCTCTAGAAAGTTCCAAACATTCCCTCATCTTCTTGTCTTCTGAGCCCTCCAAACTCTTCCAACCTCTGCCTGTTACCCAGTTCCAATGCTTTCACATTTTCGTATATCCTTATAGCAATGTGCCACTCCTATGTACCAATTTTCTGTATTAGTCCATTTTTGCACTACTATAAAGAAATATCTGAGACTGGGTAATTTAGAGAGAAAAGAGTTTTAATTGGCTCATGGTTCTGCAGACTGTACAGGAAGTATCATGCTGGCATCTGCTAAGCTCTGGAGAGGACTCAGGAAACTTACAATTATGGCAGAAGCCACAGGGGTAGCAAGCATATCACATGGCCAGAACAGAAGCAAGAGAGAGAAGAGGGAGGTCCACACATTTTT